CAAAATGAGACTTACTGTTTTTATATAGTAAATACAACCTCTGAAAGTTGTTACTTTTATGATTTATGAAGTTAAAACAATTATTTCTTACTAGTTGCAGAGAAAGAAAGAAATTTACTGTTTTCATATAGTAAAATCAATTGTTGAAAATAGTTAATTTTACTATTTATGCAGTTGAAAAGATCATTTTTTTCTACAGAGAAAAAACGTGAGTGGTAAAAACATTCACATATGTGCAGTTAAAAAAATATAGTTAAAACTACCATATTCAGCAGCATTTTAACTAAACTTCCATAGTTAGTGGAACTAAAATTGAATAGTAGGTTTTATGTAGTTAAAATTACTACTACACGTTATGATTGTGAATAACTCAACAATAGTGCAGTAGTAAAAATATCCATTTCTTGCTATTTGCAAAATAAATTAAAATTTACTGTTCCAAAGAGTAAAAACAACCGCTGGAATTTGTTATTTTTGTGTTTAATGTAGTTAAAAGAACCAATTCTTACTAGCTTTTAATAATTTATCTCTATGGTGGTAAGAAACATTTATTTTTATAACTACAAAAGTCATAAAAGTAACAATTTTTATGTTATTTTTACTATATGAAAATAGTAAGTTTAATTTTTTTATAACTAGTAAAAAGTGGATAATTTTACTACAGAAATTCTGAAAATAACTATTTTCAACAGTACTTTTAACTACTGCACTATCGTTGAGTCATTTAAAATCATATGCTGGCTACATTTCAACTAAGTCCTTGAGCTTAAAAAATTAGTTACTGCAACTAAACGGAGTAGTTATTATGACTGAATTTAAGAAGAATGTCCTCAAGTACAATGCCAGTCATCGTAGCGTGCGAGCGTGGTTAGGTGGTTAGGTTATCGGTTTGCGAATGTTAGGGTCGTGCGTTCAATCCCCGGCGTTTGGGGATTTTTCTCTGTTAGGTGTATAAGAATTAAATATATAAATTATATATGAACAAAAATAGGTAAGAGAAAATATACAAAAATGGACCTCAATAATAATAAAAAACAAATAAATAATTTCATTTTACTACTTTAAATAGTTAATTTAACTATTTTTTACAGTTACAACTACAATTTGTTACGGGCGCCTATAGGAACTATGAAAATTTAGTTACTGCAACTAAATGAAGCAGTTAGTATGACTAACAACAAATAGTTAAGATAACTGTTTTAGTAGTTAAATTTACTGTAAAAATGGTATTTATTACTACATTTTACAGTTAGACTAACTATTCTGTCATAGTTCATTTTACTAAATAATGTTACGGGCGCCTATAGGAACTACAGGAAATAGTAAAAAAGTAGTCAAATTTACCATATTTTTTTTGTGTGATTCTAGAACAGTGTTACTGGAAACTGTCTTGATATTATATAAGAACAAAAACACAAATTACAAACAATTTTTAATATTAATTCATTTGGTTTATTATAAATGTATCTGTATTGTGAAAAATGAAATAAATTTTCATTTATTTTTTAAATCTTGCGTCAAAATTAATGCTTGTGATATACCTTTCATGGTTAAAATAATTTAATTTACAGAATTAAGAAAGTATTAAGATGTAATAGTGTGTAAATAAAATGCAATACGTAAAATAATATGAAATATGTTTTCTTTAAAATATAATAAGTAATATAATATTCATATTGACAGAACTCGTTCCATGCACAGGGCAAATTTTGAATTTCAAATTTTCTTGATAATTTGCCATTTTGTTGTATTAGAGAACATACATAAGTTTTGAAAATAGTTTTGCAACATTTCGACTATTTTTCAAGATATTGTTATTTAAACATTAGTCGAAATATAATGGAATGACTCATTTATTATTGCAATTTTCATTAAATTACAATAATCTATAAAAGAAACAATAATAAATTTTATAATAAATTGTAATTAATAAAAAAACACGGATGCAAATACAAAGATATCCATGTAAACTTGTCATCCTGAATGTTTTAAGTCTTTTTTACATCAATACTTAGTAACTGGCAGACGCTGCCACATACGCCGCATGGGCATGACCGTGCAATGCAAAATTCAAAAATTAATTTCTCACGATTATCAAAAAACACCTCTCTAAATTTTTATACTAAATATTTTTTTGTAACTATCATTGATTTCGAAATTAAAAATTGTTTGAAAAATAGTGCCTTAAAAGTTTAAATAACAATATCTTGCAAAACAGTCGAAATTTTGCATAACTAATTTCACAACTTATGTATGTTCCCTAATACAACAAAATGGAAAGTTCTGAAGAAAATCTGAAATTCAAAGTTTGCCCTGTGTATGGACCAGAAATAATATAGTGATATAAGACTAAATAAACTCTATTCTCGCGATTTGAATCAGTGAAATTTCACTGAAGATCAGTTAAAAATATTTAAAATTTCATTCATTTTTTACTGATTGGCCAATTAAAAAATAACTGCCATTTTCAATATGTGTGACAGCAATTTTCAGTAGTTTTTTAATTGGCGAATCAGTGGAAAATGACTGAAATTTCAGTTATTTTTAACTGATTTTCAGTGAAATTCCACTGATTCAAATCGCGAGAATAGAGTCACTGATTCTCAGTCAAATTTCACTGATCTTCAGTGGAATTTCACTGATTCAGATTTAGAGAGTATAAACTTCTAAAATTAAAAGATGAAGGGTTGTGAGATGCCGTAGATATTTTAGAATCCGACAAATGGAAAGAAAGTACACAGCTGTGAATTAGATGTGCTTTCAGTGCGGAAAAGTTGATCGTAAGTTTGCTGGAGGTCATTAACAGCATGTGACTATTAGTGTTAATTTTCCGACTATTTTATTTCAAAATATTAAATACACAGGAAAAAAAAGTCTGACTCCGTTTACACCATAAATTCAGCCCATGTATTTCACATAAGTCTGTCCTTGTTTAATGGGGCTGACTCCGTTTACACCTTAAATTCAGCCTCGAAAACAGGCTAAAAGTAAAACTTTTTTTTTAGTGTGTACCGTCAACAGGGGTAATTATGGTACAAAAAAACGCTATTTTTTGAGTTTCTTCTTTACCAAAAATCTAAAGTGTACAAAAAAAATTTTATTAGCTATTCAAATATATTGTGAACATTCTTCTAAAGATTTCCTTCAAGTTCCATTTCTAAAAAAAATTTTTTGACGGAGTTATTTAAACATAAATATTGCTCCATAATTGCCTTGCATTTGGGGCAATTATAGAACAAATTATTATAATTAATTATAAAAGCAAGTATAACAAATTTTCTTTGTCTGTATATTAAGAAAACTTTATTTAGTACTGCAGAGTAAAATAATAATAGATAATAATAGTAAACTAAACGCGAATTTAATTCGAAGAAATTAGTAGATTTTTACACTTTTGTGAAATAACCTTTCCACTTTTTCGATGTTTAATAATTATTTTCTTGTTGCCAATGACAATAAAAATAAAAACATCTGAGTAACTTTGTAGGCAATATATTAAACTATTGTTTACAACAAGAACCAAATTAAAATAATTTACCACAAAAATTTTACATAAAAAAGAATTACGCGTTCCATATTTACCTCTGATGTTCCATAATTACCCCTGTTGACGGTAAATTAAGATGGTTTCTTGTGAACAACTCTAAAATATAATAAGGAAGGACAGTGAGATGCAAATGTTTTAATATTATAAAAATTAATTATTATAAATCACATTGAAATTTTTAAAAAAGTGAGCTTTACAGTGACTGTTTAAATTGATCATTTTAAAGTGTTTATAATAATTGATTATAAAACTGTTAAAACTTTTGCACATCACTACTCTTCCTAATTATATTTTAAACTTTCTCACAAAATATCAGCTCAATTTATTCAATATATTAAAAGAAAAATTGTCAAAAAATTAAAATTAAAGATATAACAGTAACATGCTGTTAATAAGAATGTTGTAATATAATAATAATATACTCAAGAAAAAAAGTTTCCCTGAAACAGCGATAAATTTCTCTAGATTAGCGAAACACTTAATTGAAACAATTAAAACTTTCTCTAACATACTGTGCAAAAAGAAATATTTTAAAAGTGACTGCAAAGTTACTTTTAGGATACTTCTTTTTGCAGTGTAGTGAAATTTATAGCTATTTTAGATGAAGATTTTTTCCGTGCTTAATTTTTGTAAATTGGTGTTTTCTTTACATTTAAAAAAAAGTATTTCCAATTTGCAACTGATAAACTGAAAACATTGCAAACATGAAAGACTTTGATGAAATCTATTACAAATAAAATGCCTTTGAGCAACGAGAATTCCAAGGTTACACTTCTCATTATAAAAATGGCTTTGCGATAAAAAAAATTTTTTCACAATATTGAAACGTTAGATGTAAAAATAATTAAAGTAAACTGGTTTTAAGCATTTACTTGAAAAAAAAAAATTTTCAATTTAATGAAACTAAATTAGAATGGAAAGAAAAGATCGGAAATAGATTAAAATTGAAATAAAATTGATAATTAAAATGAAAATATACAAATCTTTAGGTTGCAGTAAAAAACAGAATAAATTTGAAATAAAAATTATCACAATTTAAGAAAAAATTATTAATCGAATCAAATTCAGATATGAGACCAAACAATTTTCGAATGTTACTAATTGTAGCAAATAAAAAAATATATCCATTTACTAATGATCCACAAGTTTTGAACGTTCAAATGAACGAAACACTTTATATTAGAAATGTTTTTATAATTTATTGTTTGCAATAAAAATTAAAAACTTAAATTTTACACTAAGAAACTTTGTAACTCATTTATTTTATATTGACAAAAATTATTGTAATAAATATTCAAATTAAAGAAGAAAATAAATAAATTTCGTTCATTTGAACGTTCAGAACTTTAGGATCATATTTACTAAATCACCTTGAATTTAAGACTTTGCAAGATTAAATGGAATCAATTCGAAAAATAATTATTAATAAATTTACTTACGACCGTGTAATTACCATTAATTGCAGTAAGAAATTGTAGTAAACGACTTCCTGGTTTTGGTGGATCCTTCTGTTGTTTTGGCCTATCCAGAATTTCAGTTATCACATGATTATTGTTATTGTTGTTGTTAAAACAGGTGAATGTGTGTTTTAACTTCATTGTTTAATGAAATTTTTTTCTTCAACAATTTATTATCACTATAATCTAATAAGTATTATTATCTCGTTATTTTATTATGTAACATTGTATTTAAAGAGATTTTCGAGAGACTTGTTGTTGGGACTCCTTTCACAGGCGTTGAACGACTGACGGTGCATTAAGAAAATTGACGGTAATACACCTTATCTGAATACATCTGGTGTGTTTGACTGACTGGCTCTATTTAATTGACGGTTCAGACATGGATTACATTATACACTCGTATATATAGATATGTATTAGCATTCTTCTTACTTAAACATATATAGATGAGATTTTCTTCTGATGCGCAAAGGTTGATTGGTGTTAATATATAAACTCATGTCTATATGTATCATATAGAGTTTACTGTCTGATAAACTTATTTATCAACAAACAAACCAAATAACTATAGTTGAGAATTTTATTCTTCATTTCTGATGAAAAAGTGACAAAAGTAGTTAGTTTGGAAATCGTTTTTACAACTTTATATAATAAACCCTTAAAAATAAAAATTTTTAAATGTTAAATTTCTGAAAAAAATTTATTTTATGATATTTTAGCTATGTTTTATTACTGGATCAAAAATAACAGTATTTTCTTTGCTTTTTGTGTATTACTTTCAAAATCTCACAAATATAAATTTTTTTATGGAACTGAGATGTAAAAAATTCTTTTATTTAATAACCGAAAAAAGTGAACAAAAGTTATACTCTCTAAATCTAAATTAGTAAAAATGTTTACTAATTTGAATTAGTAAAAATGTTTACTAATTTGAATTAGTAAAAATTTTTACTAATTTGAATTAGTGACTGACTTTTAACTTTTGAATAATTAGTAAAGTTTACTAAATAAACAGTAATTTCTATTAAATTATTAGTGAAATTAACTTATTCAAAAGCAAAAAGTCAGTCGTAACCTCAAATTAGTAAACATTTTTACTAATTCAAATTTAGAGAGTAGTTGAAAAATATTTATTTCTGAATTATTAAAAAAAACAAAGTCTGAATCTGATACCAAAAACCTGCAGGTTTTTGCAAACCAAAAATGATTGCAGGTATAAAAATCATGTTTTTGAGGCAAAAATTCTAATGTAAACGATCTTAGTCAAAGAAGGCTGTAAGAAAGATTTATTTTTTACAGTGTAAAATAGTTTAAAAGCAAAAAATTGGCTTAAATACCCATTTTAAAAAACTGGTTATTTAGCAATAAGCGTATATTAATTAATTCAGAAAAACATTAAAATTTTATTTAAAAAACAATTTTAAGAAGAAAGAAATATAAAAAATTACTTACTTTTATGTAACAATTGTTTCTGGTTGGTATATAACCCATATTTTTATTGAGACAATAGGATTAATTTAGATGTTAATATACATCACTTCAATTGAGAAGTTAATTTATGGCAATAAATTATTATTATTATTTTTTTACTACTGATTGTTAGTTGTTGAAACTTCATTAATGTCAATACGTAAATAAATTGTTATATATATATATATATATATATGAATGTGTTAATGGTAAGCATATTAAATTTGAATGGACATAATCTTTCTCTCAAGATCTTAATATTATCATCATTATCTGTGTCTGCAAAATAAAAAATTAAACTGGTATTTAAAACTCGTTCTACTATAGTAGAACGAGTTTTAAATACCAGTTTAATTTTTTTTTTTTTTTTTTTTTTTTAGAAAAATCTTAAGTACCTCTCATCATTACTATAGTAATGATGAGAGGTACTTAAGATTTTTCTAATTTATTAATAATTATAAATTCATTAGAATTGCAAAAAGTGATTTAATAAATGAAATATTCGCAGATGTGCATTCAATTGTGTGAAAATAATTTTGCTTTTTTCTTACCGGGAGGAAGATTCACAATTTTTCAAGAAATGGAAAATTATTTTTTAATTAAATTTGGAAAATTTAAGTTTCCATATTTAAAGAAAAATTTTCTATTCTCTCTATTTCGTTTGTTCATAATTTATGTACTCATTACTAATTTGCTTGTTTATTTTTAGGGTTCCGTACACCTACGGTGTAACGGCGGAACCCTATTGGTGAGACTCTGTTGTCCGTAGCCAAATCGTGTCCCCCCCCTAGCGGCTAAACTATTTGACCTAAAGAGCTCAAATTTGGTCCAGATATGTATTTTCACTCGTAGATTACAGGAAAAATATAGCGAATGTGATTGGACGTGATGGACATAGCGTTGTCAAGGAAATAACAAGATTTTTGGCTAAAAATGCATAAAAAGTGACCATTCCCCCCCTTAACTTCTAAACTATTCGACATGGAGAGCTGAAATTTTGCATGCTGGTGTATTTTTACTCGAATATTACAGGAAAAATATAGAGAACTTGATATGTAATGATGGCCATAGCGTTGTCAAGAAAAAACTAAAAAAATTTAAAAAAAAAAATTTTTTTCTCTAACTTTTACATTATTTGACCTCATGAGCTGAAAATTGGTATCCTAGTGTATTATTACAGTCTGACGACAAAAAATTTATTTAAGAAACTTTTTGAAAAAAAAATCAAAAAAAATTTTTTTTTAATTTTTTTTAGTTTAAACACGTGGCATTAAATATTTTAAGGAAGAGAGTGAAATTTTAAGAGAATAAATGAGAGATTGTTTTCTGACTTTAATTTCTTAACTAAAAAAAAAAAAATTGGACAAGTGCGAGTTGTACTCGCACTGCAATGGCGGGTTCCGTACACAAATATTAAAACAATACTTGCAACATTTATCCGTAATTGATAGAATTAAAATAAACAATTAAAAAAATATATTAAAATCATTTGATAAAAAAAATAACTAAAAAAAATTAAAGTATTGTATATCTAATATTGTAAACAATAATAAGCAGAGGAACTATAATTTTGAAAATTTTGTTCCTCTGCTTATTATTGTTTACAATATTAGATATATACAATACTTTAATTTTTTTAGTTATTTTTTTTATCAAATGATTTTAATATATTTTTTTAATTGTTTATTTTAATTTTATAAATTACCGATAAATGTTGCAATTGTTTTAATATTTGTGTACGGAACCCGCCATTGCAGTGCGAGTACAACTCGCACTTGTTTATTCTTATAATTATATAAAGCTTTTAATACATTAATTTTAAAGACAAAAAATTCTATAAGTATTGAACAAAATTTTTCTCAAAATAATTATAATTATTTTTTTTAATAAATTCTTCGTCACTTGTAACTTATGGAAGTGGTATTCGACCATTTCTCGACCTTGTTTCAAGCGAAATTCCATACTTTTATTCCATTCTAAAGTTCCAGTTTTTATTACAAAATGAATGTAAAGCAAAGATGAATAAAATCGAAAGTCGTACGTAATTGAAAATTTTCCGTTTCTGCGAAATTTTCATCAGAAAAATATGAGTGTATCTTTACCCTTGAGAAGAAAGTATGTAATTTATAATTATATTATATTATAATTTTTTCATTTCATTTTTATTTGTCCGAGAAAAAGAATCCATTATTAAAACACATTAATTCTTTTAAAATTAAATTAGAAGAAAATGCCACGAAAAGAAAAAAAATAAAATTGTACCTAAAATCTTATCAGCTTAATCTAAAACCAGTTTTCGGACTATTTATTTATTTATTATCTTGTTTTATCCCATTACCTTGAGCTAATTTAAAGAGGCATTTTCATTGGTACAATTCGAAAATGAAGTCGAGAATTACTGAAACGTAATTAACGATCTCCAAAGTAATTATCAAAGGGACAAACAGATCTGTGGGAGAGAAAGTCGAAAGTCTTAACGACTATAGGTTCTTCTCATCTATTATCACAAAGTAAATTGCCTAACAAGACATTGTTCCCAATTGCTTTGCCATTCGCTCTCTCTCAACCTCAGGCCCTGTTTTGGTTGTTACTGCTCCCTTGAAAGCTCTCAGTTTCTATATATGCACCCACACACCAACAAGCCAACTATTTGAAAGAGTGAGATGGTCAAAAGGATGGGGAGAGTGAGAGAGCGAGAGACTCTTGTTGGGGTAGTTTCAAAGGCTAAAATGGGACTGGTGGTCTGACGATGGTCCATTGATGGCTGTGAACCTCGTAACATTAATTTGTATGACCCACAGATTAGGTAAGATTAAGCCACCTGCTGTTCTATGGTCTCTTATGGATATGTAGAAACTCCACAAAGGAATGTCTTTCATTTCCTGCCGACCAAGATTATGCAGGTATTATAATATGTTTAGAAGAATAATTGCATATTAAGAAAGACAAGTGGTAGATTTAAACTTAAACCAGTGACTTTACAGATTATATTGTCTAGTAAGATGTATAGTAAGACTTGCTCTCAACTCGAAAGATACTGATATATCTATAACGAATAATTTACAGTAAAAATTCCGAAAAATGGAAACTGTTGTAACAGTCTTCTTGAAACGATCTTAATTTTTTATATTAATTAGTAGAGAATCATATTTTAAGATGCATATTATTTAAAAATTATGAATGCTTTACTGTTATCATAGTGCGGACATAGTCAATGTTCAAGCAATATTATATTGACATGCAATATTGACACAATATTGAATTCAAATGTTTCGCTATTTGGTTAATTTAAAATTTCGTAAAAGTAAAAATAAATGCATAAAAATATTCTTCTGGCTGCCAGGATGATTTTGCCCACTTAAAATCCAATGGGAAACAGCCGTTACTTTACCATTGGCATATTAATGGCCCAATATTCTGCCGTGTGATATAAAAACTTAGTTAACTGACATTTTGGTGAAAAATGAGTTTTTGGTATCAATGAACTCGTAAGAAAAAACTGCGTCTAATAGTTATAGTTTAAATTTTTTTTGCAAATTATTGCTTGTAAAAAATTAATATTAAAAATCTAAGAAATTGCAGAAAATGAAGGAATATTTTATAAAAAGTTAAGGAAAGGACTTTGCGTAGTCCAAAAAACAAACGGGGCTACGAGCTCGAATGTAAGATTTGAAGGAAAAACTTAGTTAAAGGCATTTGTGTGTTTTTTGTATCAAATAAGTAGTCGAGTCTGAGCGTTGGATTTGAAATAAAAACTTTGCATCTGCAACGCTTGCAATTACCTAAGTTATTCCGTCAAAAAGTCAGTCGAGACAGAGCCGAACGACTACTTAACTGCATTCGGCTAAACTCGGTTTATCCTCGGGACGCAAGCAGCAAGCAGCCGTCCCCTTACCACATGACGT